CCTGCTGAAGAAGGAGTTTATGATACGAAGATGAAAGAGTGCAGAGTGCTGGGAGAGATCTTCTAAGGTTGATAAGCCTTCAGACTTATCCGAGCCTCACCTTAGAGGCCCTCCTCATCACGATAACAACACTTAAGTAATCCAAAATTCACCAGCCTGATGCGTTTCAACATTTCAAAACCCCCTTCCCAGGAGGAGCAGAGCTGCGCTCTCTTCCCCAGCCACTGGACTCGGGTGCATTTCTCTTCGACAGGGACAGGAAAAGCAGGAGGAAGAAGAGGGAGGAGGAAGGTCCCTGGTTCTCACTGGTCAGAGGATTAACGAGAACATGCAGGGCTCCCCTTGCATCTTTTTACCTAAATGGGAAGCAGCTGCAGCCGATTGTAGCACAGGGGACAGAGGGGTGAAGGATGGGCGGTGGAGAGGCGGCAGGTGTGAGGAGCTCCAACAGCCGCGCAGCAGACGGGAGGAAGGTACAGCCGGCCATCCGGTAACGCCGCCTCGCCAGGAAGAGAGAGGCCGAGCTGCTCCTCCTAGGAGCAGAAGTAAAACAGGGCATTTCTTTTGGACTTGTGTAAAGTTTCAACAGATCTGCGTAACGTAGTCCCTCCGTCAAAGGGATGTGCCTGGAACTGCTCAGTAACCCGCACCCGCCCGCAGCGCCGGGCCGGCACGGCCGCAGCAGCCGGCGCAGAGCCGGGAGGGAGCCAGCGGGCGGGAGGGGAGGGTTTAGGAGGGGTCCAGGCGCTGCTCTGCCTGGGTGGAAGTGGTGGCTGCAGGCGTGAGCGGATCGGCAGCGCTTGCTGTCGCTCAGCCCTTCGTGGAGGGACGGCTCAGACGGATAAACTCCTCACGCTGTTAAGCAGCGTGCAGCGCAAAACCAACCTTGAGTCCTCTCTGTGCCTCTGAGGTCACCTCCCTGCCCTGGCTCCTGCCCGGCCCTTCCCAACTCCAACCTCCGAGCTGGGTGCAAACACTTCGCTTTCTGTCTTTGAACCTTTATTACTACGGAATATCCAAAACAACAAAACCAACAACACAGTTACAAAAGGAGTTCACGGAGAAATGTGAAGCAGCCTGTGTTTGAAATGCTCTGTGTCACCGTACTGAGTCAAATATAAAACGATGCATATTTATACATATATAAAATATAAAAGGAACAAGACATCAGAAATGTATAAACAAGGGCTATGGAGGCCTTCGTGGTATTTACAGTCAGAGATACGGCGGGGCGGGGGGCAGGGGAGCAGGCAGTGTCCGTTCAACAGGGAGTTCTACAAGCATCTGTCAGGGTCTCTGTGGACAGAGAGAAGCTCAGAGCTGGGCTCAGCCCTGCTGGAAGTGGTTTGAAGGTTCTGCATGACTGATGGTTTGGGAGAAAGCCAGAGCCCAGGGCTGGATCGGTCGCGGGCCAAGGCAAACAGCGAGCAGGGGCAGCCCCCTGCCTCTGCCCAGGCTCTGCCAGCCATGTTCGCGTAGCTTCGTGTTCCCAGCTGTGAAACAGAAGGTCAGGCCCATCGCCAGAAGGGAATAAAATAAAATAAAATAAAAAATAATAATAATAAACTCAACAGAGAGAAGTTCCACGTTCACATCGATAACAGATCTTCCAAGCAGTCTCCGGCCCGGCAGCGCGAGGCCGAGGCGCTCCCCAGAGGCAGTGTATTCAAGTAAAGGCAACAAGTTGAGGCACTAGGCTGAGTTCTGTTGGGTCAAACTTGCCGGCTTTGAGAGAAGTCCCAGTAAGTGCTGCCTGCGGCTCTTTATAGCTCCTTGAGGATGATCTGGAACTTGTCCTCTGCTTCCACCACGTCCAGGAGAAAGGCCATGTGGTTGCTGTAGTGCTGGATGATGTTGTTGTCCATGTTCACCAGGATGCTACAGGAGAGGGAGAACGGCTAGGTCAGAAGCAGCACATCGAAAGGTTTGCAGAGCAGCTTAGTCGGGAGGGCTGGACATTACTGCACACTCAGGATTCCCAGTTGTAAACTGGGAATGACATCACTGACAAAGCCTTGTGGCACAGGGGTGGCCCTCTCTGAAAGGTCGCACACACAATTCCCATTAAAAATTGCCTTTACTGCCCTGTCATTGATGAGCGTCGCATTATCGCAGCCGTGCTCCTCGCTGCCTGCCAGTCACAGCCCTGGGCAGGCACGAGAAGGCGCTGCAGCGTCCGCCGTACCCACTTTCAGGGGCTCAGCTGCGATTAATTAATTAAAGCCACGATATGACACAAAGGAACGTCCTGCAGAGCTTTTCGCAATT